TGAAGTAGAGGAATCATTTTAAGAACAAAAGTGGTATGCAGGTAAGGAGAGCTGAGTTCATGTTTCCCACTGGGTGACTTTAGGGCAAGAACTCATGTTCAGCCTCAGTTCATCTCACAAGGATTAATCATGAAAGAAAACACAAAGATCATAAAAAGCACTTTAAACATGATCCCTTATTAGTTGCACCTATTCCTTCCCTTTTGTCAAAATTTATATTTTAAGCTCCTTGAGGTACTAGGTGCCCTTTTTTCCCCTTCTTACTCTCTAAGGCACTATTTGGTTTGATGCTGATATAGAAACAGCAATCAGTACACCTGAAACCTCTGCACTTCTTGAACTGAAAATCATACTTGGGTCTTTCATACCAGAACTGCCTTATATGCTTTAGTTCGATAGGCAATGTTAAGGCCTTTGCAGGTAAACCTAAGGCACAGAACTCCATGAGAGACAAGGTAGTTTGCCAACGATGTTAGATGAGAAAAATTCATATCGCCAGATGCTCCATGAGTAAGAATCACAGCATACGGTAGGATTTTGGCAGGGATGGAAAAAACAGCATCTAAATATTTGTTTCCGAAAGGTATTTTCACCTTAGCCTAGAAATAAAAATATTGAAATCAATAAACAGATTTCTATGTTTCTAAATGTTAGCATTATCCTGCGCTTTGACACAGGAGAAAACCATTGTGAATGAACCAAAATGTCAGCAAAAAAATGAAAGCATCTAAGAAATAGGTTCATTAAAACTTTCGGTGGCATAAAATTCTGCCTTTAATGAGTCTTGTTTATTTTTGCAGTAACAAAACAGTGCAGTTAAGACATATTACCATATCTAATAGTAAAGTAGCTGCCCACCCCCCCATACTAATGAGAAAAGTAGCAAAACTAGAAACAAGATACGCAGGAATAAAAAATGACTTTGTAAGTTAATCAAAGGAAAGACAAAACCCCAACTAAGACCAGAATATGCTCCCGAAGCACAGAACATTAAGACCAGTTGAGAATGAGTTAAAGAGGGGAAAGGGCTCAAATTTCTGAGACCTTACAAATTCCTGGAGAGCAATGTTTTTGGAATGGA